GGGCAGAGCACAGATAGCCCATTGTGTAGCTTTGTGCTTAATTACAAACAAATTAGAAGGAAAGCGGCGGCTAGTCAACAAAACTCATCTTCAACTCTTTGAGCTACTCTGTACCAAAGAATATTGGGACTAACTGTAAATTATAACGCCTTCACGGCTAAAAGCGCGAGCATGTTTGATGTAGGGTTTCGATCCCATGACCACAGATTGCGAGTCGATCGCTCTAGCCACCAGGCCACCGTTGTTTCTCTAATCCGTTAGATGTTGAAAATATCATTGCTTCAGCTGTAATTATAAGTTTTAGGTTATGTTCTGGTAATTGTTATAATAAATTATTTAATTCCATTCAGTTTCGTATAACATGTATGGTTTAGATCGTATTAATAACTTCTCCATTTTGGTGAACTGGGCGTGGCCTAGTGCTTAACGTTTTGGGCTGCAGATCGAGGTTCGAAACCCACTTCTGTTGAACATGATCCATTATTTTAGTTTTAGACGATTTATTCTGCTAAAAAGCCTTGTGACGTAATAATGTTATAATCACTGGCGCTCGAGTATACCTGCACAATTAAATATTTAGCCATATTGTACTCGCTATTAAAAACAAGATCTAAAATGGCGTCTTCCCTACTAAGTTCTTATACGTGTCGTGTGAGAAAATAACCCTCTATATCCTTAAGAAATTGTTGAGCCTTATATAATGAAGAAAATATTAAGACACTGTAAGCTGTTTTGATCAGTTACTGGACATGTGTTAACTAATATATTTACAGTATTTGTACTCATTGATTTCAATATTTGGTACTTGTTGTTGTTGTTTGAAGTTAAGCATAAAGCTACACAATGGGCTATCTGTTCTCTGCCCACCACGTGTATCGAAACCCGGTTTCTAGCGTTGTACGTCCGCAGACATATTAAACTAAAATCAACAACTCTGATACATAGACCCCGAAACTAGTTTTGAAAACTATGTGTCAATATTAAGAATATGTAGAGTTTAGTTTAATTAGAATACACATTTGTGTCTTAACTGTTTGCGATTTGTCTTTCAGGAATCTAGAAACTTTGAGTGTAAACAAACTGAAGTATCAATGATGTGACTTCTTTCATTGGCGATAAAAAGACAAAAAACAAAAAACGAATTCAATAATTCACGCTTTTTTCATATGCATTGTGAACAGGTATATAATTGTATCAATTGCTGTCAATTCTTTGGTAAGTATGCCTTACTTCTCATTGTGGACAAGTTTCTGTTTATACCGCAGATAAGGTACATGTCTGATAATAATTTTAGGTAACAAACTAAAAAGAAAGAACTCTGACATTTTTTATGGGATCAATTTGTGATGTAAAGATGTTTGTTTGGGAAGTAGAGCGTGATAAAGTGGAGTTTCAAACAGTAAAGTTGTCGAACCCAAGTTTGTTCTAGTCAGTTAAACACACACACATTTATAAGGAGCAGACTGGAAATAAGGAAACATTTCTGAATATTCTAAGCCTAACCTCTCACATAATTCATGTTTACAAGTATTTCTATTTACGTTTACGTGTAAGAAGGGTAAAACAAAACCTAACATCCACCTCATTAAACGTCGCATAAATAAAACGTCTGTGTATAGGAATGTTGCTTGCTACTATATTAATGCGAATAAAATTATCTTGAAGCTTCTTTCAGTTCATGATATGTGGATAGTTCACTAACCTTTGAAGATCATAAACGTAACATATTTTATTTTTATAAGCAATAACTTAAAAGCCAAAAGTTCTAGAGAATCCACGTGGGAAAACAGATTCAAAGTTACGCGTGTTTGACAGCACAAACAAGTTGCAGTTTTTATGTTCTTTTTGCGGGGGACATACAGAAACGGCGTAATATTTTGTCGCTAGCATTGTAGCCATTGCTATCTTTGGTGTTGGACAGACCAGAGCGGGACGATACCGCTAATCCCACCGTGTAGCCTTGAAGAAAACAGAAAGGAATTTTTTTTCCCCTTAGCGCTTTCTATTGCGTGGTATTGCCATGTATTTACTAAGCACATTTGAATCTATTATAGTTGCCGTCTTTATTTTAAAGTATTATGAACCTACATTTTTCTTTTCTTTGTACCCTCCAGAGCAAGTGTCAGTAAAAGGCATTCATCACACATTTCCTTTACCTTTACATCACTCAATGTTGAACATAAAATATAGCCCCCCCCCCAAAAAAAAGGCTGTTATTGAAACTATATTATAAATCACATCTGTCCATACATTATAGTCGCTAAATATATTTTCAAATGGCCATTATGGCCATCACAAATCTTACAGTATTGTGCAGTACCTATCGCCCCTGTATGTTTAATAGGAGAATGCGTAGTACCACGAGGGACCACGTCATGATTGTTATTTGCCATAAACTATCCTTGTTTATGAAACAAATATAATGATATCACATTAAAAACTAAAAAAAGTTGTTTTTTTTTTACTAAAGCACATTCAGTAACTAAATCTTAAAACGTCAAATCGATTCTTCATTGTGTCCACTATAATCACTTATAAAACAGCCAGAAGTGGTCATTCTCGACATATATAACATTTTGATTCTAAAATGGATATAAAGATTTATTAGACCTTTACTTCTACTGCATCACTGCAGAGGGCATCCTCACATAGGACATAAACCATTCATCATTAGATTTCAAAAATAGAGTTTATCAGTTATTGTGTATCAGTTTTTGAAGTCCAAAAAAGCAGTTCACTTGGTATATAATGTCTTTAAGGAACTTTGTGATTTGGTCCAAACTATACTTGTCAGCCCAAGAAACATTGTTTTGGAAACCACAGAGTATTTTGGTTTGATTGCGATCTATTAAAATTAGTGTTCATGTTTACATGAAAGTAAATGAGAATATAAAATGAAAGTAACAGATCTTTTCTTGGACAAAACACTACTGAAGATGATGTTGAGATTCTGTATATCTTTGAATTTCTAAGAACTTTACTGGCTAAATAAAGCGGACGAAATCATCTTAAGATGTCTGGATATGACATATCACGGGTTCGATAATGGTCATAGGATAAAAATCTTTACTTTCAGTGTTCAGCAAAGCTTTTGTGCTAGCGGCTTAAAGTAGCCTAGGCTTAAAATATGGATGAAACTTAAACTTATGGATAAAGCTGGACAGATGATATCGGGAATTGTTTGTCTGGTTTGAAAGGTGAGAAACGTTCCCTTTTGTAATAGTGGGCACTGTATTTGGACCGCGTTGGTATGAGGAACACAGAAGCTCTGGAGGTGCTGGCAAGTGTCCGGATGTGCTTACACTGGGTCCCGCAGAGTCCGTAATAGCATCGACAGTTTCAGTCATTAAGCTTGGTGCTGAGATCATTGAGAATAGAGGAAGATTTACTCTAGGGAAACCAAAGTATAGATCAGCCAAGCAATTAGGTTGTTGATGGTGAGAAGTCATTAAGAAGCTGAACTCTGGCATGTTAAGAAGCATTTCGGACATTTTCAAAAAACTCTCATAACTGAGCATGAAAGGTAGCTCCGTCGATAGAGGAACTCTGGGTAAAGCTGAAACAAAATAGGCAATGTTGTTAGAATCAAGCTGATAATAAATAAAAAAAAATAGTTGTATTGCATTTTAAAATGATGTCAACATTTTACTTATCTCTTTGGTATACATTTTGTTGTAACGTGTTCTTTTTTTTTATTACTAAAGACAGCCTAGTTAACATTTGCAGTATATCATGATGCAGTTACATTTTACAATAAGGCATTTTAAATACTAAGACCAGAAACTCACCACATTATAGAATCAAATCAAGATAACTGAACATAATTTCTTTTGAGGCACATTGTGCTACTATATCAAAAGTAAAAAAACAACTTTTTAAACATATATTTAACATTATCAAACGTTACTAAAAGCATATGCTATATAATTACAAGCAGTGTTTCTTAGTATGGCTGTAACGATTCATAGCGGTTCAGTGGCTACGGTTCAATACACTGTTCGTTTTGTGCTGCAGTTCGGTTCGGTTTTCTTCTTTCTTTTGTTTCTGAATGTCCTTTTATTTTATATAAAAACAAATGCTTTAGATAATAATAGTTACAAAGTTACTTTTCCATGCAAGTCGTGATCAGTCTTTGTATTGTATAACCGTTCTAAATATAGATTTCGTTATTTTTTGTAATTTGTCGTGAATGGTAAAAATGGTAAACCAAATTATTACTTGCTTTATTAACAATGGCTGACTCCTCAAAGCATAAAATATAGGACATAACTTTGTTCTATAAATCAGATGTTTGGAAATATACTGGGTTTAAATTTTTTTGGATCAAACTGAGTAAAAAAACTTATCGTTCCAGTATGTAAAATTAGTGAGGTGGAGGTTAATTGTAAAACGGTAACAACGTCAGACATGGCCACATATCTGAGAAGAAAACGTAATATTACATTACAGAAAGAAATTCACAGTAAAATCTCACAAGTTTCACTTTCTGTAAGCAGTAAAGGAAACTGTGTTCTTCATCTGGGTCTCCAGTAAACGTTTAAAATTAAATTAAACCCAAACAGTCAAAGAGCAAAGAGATAACAAAAACTATTGGGATCTTTATGGCTAAAGATATGGCACCATTTTCAGTGGTGGATAATCCTGGCTTAAAGGCTCTGTTTAAGATTTTGGAACCAAGACATGGGATCCCTTCAAAGACTCACTTTAGTACTGCAGTAATTTGAGACCTGTACAAAGATGAAAAGAACAAACCTGACACAGAAATGTAAGGTGCTTCTTCTATTGCCCTATCCAGTGATGTATAGACTCCGAGATCTACTGAAAACTACATTAGTATTACTGGAAATTTTATATACGACAACTGGAAAATTAGAAATTCGGTTCTATAAAAAAAGACAGTTAAATGAGTCACATTCGGCTGAACACATGGTGAATGTACTAAAGAAGACTGTGTATTCTTGGGTCTTAATAAAGTTTAACCATCGAGCTTTCACAACTGATAACGCAAGAAAGTTTTGCAATGCGCTAAAACTGGCAGAACTGTCATTACGTGTGTAATACTTTGCATACACCATTAATGTGTCTGCTCGGAAAGGCCTTCGTATGTCGCAAGAACATAGGTTTTTTGCTATACTAATAAATTAATATACTTATATATATATTGTCATACGTATCTAATCGTGAGGTAAGCGTTTCGTTATACAGCCCTATTTCTTAGTTGTCTTTTTTAGCACGCTTCGTGTACCATTCTCAGGTCAAGTTTCACTACAACCCTAGTCGATTATATTACACATTTCTGAAAACCAATAATAGCACATGTACACTGCTAATAGGTAGAACAGACGTACATACAATAAAATCTGGTTCATCGTGACTTTTATGCGTAAGAGGAAAATAAAATGGATTTAAGTGTGGCACGCACAATACTCTTTTTTTTTGCATTTAATGAAACAACTTAGCTTTTTACAACATAGAAGACAATGGAAGAAGACAATAGAGTAAAGCAAAATAAAAACTGTTATATTAAACGAAGCACTTGAAATAGAATAGTAATATTATTGATGTATACGTTGGAGTCGTAAACCTAAGTTACACTGTCTCAAGTAAATATATATGCGTGCTTCAACGACAGAAGAATGTAAACAGAGAGGATCATCTCATATTTTTGGTGAGAATAAGATATTTATTTTGCAGTTATTTTATTATTGAACGTCAACTGCTTTGGTGGTCTTTCATACAAGATTGTCCAATACGAGAAGTATAACTTATTTAATATTATACCATCTCCTGATTTGGAAGAAGATATGCTTGTCACGAGATTAAATTATTATCGCTTCAACATATCTTCTGCAAAGGTTCTGAATCTCATTTGATTTTTATTTTATAAGATTCTAAAAGGAATAACACATAATTATATTGCGTTTCACACAGGAAAAGTAAAAAAAAAAAATGTTTTAAAATAAACCTACCTGCTCTATGGGATAAGGCAACCGGACTTGAACGTAATTTATCAGACTGAAACGGAGCCTGATGAAAGATGTGATCTTGAAGAAATGTTTCCATGGACCCTCTGTTTAATAGGAACCGAAATGTTGATTAAATAATAGTAAATTAACATATAATAGGAACGTAACTAATAATTGTTCATGTTTATTTAACTAAAACGAACAAAGTAAGGGAAAAAGATGTAAAATATATTTTGTTTGTTTTTAGTTAAACACAAAGCTACACAGCTATCTGTACTGTGTCCACAACGAGTATCGAAACCCAGTTTTTAGCGTTATAAGTCCGCCGACTTACCGCTGAGCAACTGGGGGGCAAAAGAAAAATGAAATATGATAAACTAAAACGAAAAGGAATATAGATATAGGCATAAAATTAAAACAAAGAAGGACAATACAGTGAGAGAAACAAAGAAAGCATAATTGTAGTTGGAGTAGTAGGCTGATTTTTTTAGGAAGGAAAGAAAGCCATGTGAAAAAGTAACTAGAAACGATGATGTAGAAACGACACTGAAAAGAAGCGTGATGATCATACTAGAAAGACATCCAAAGACATTCACTAAAATAATAGTTTGGTATATACACCATTTACACCTGAAGAAGGTTACTCTACTCGCCAGCTGTAGTACGTTTCATTTGCAATATTTGCTAACATCAAGTGTAGTCCTGCAAAAGATAAGTTTGATATAATTAGGGCTAAACTTTGGTATATTTTTATTTATACGCCTTAAGTTTGTTTCTTTTGAATATCGCGCAAAGCTACACGAGGGCTATCTACGCTAGCCGTCCCTAATTTAGCAGTGGAAGACTAGAAAGAAGGCGGCTAGTTATCACCACCCATTGCCAACTCTTGGGCTACTCTTTTACCAACGAATAGTGGGATTAACCGTCACATTATAACGCCCCCACGGCTGAAAGGGCGAGCATGTTTGGCGGGACGGGGATTCGAACCCGCGACCCTCAGATTGGGAGTCAAGCGCCCTAACTACCTGCTCATGCCGGACTCATGTCGTTGGTTTGTAACTGTCTAACGCAGTATTTATGAATTTTTAAAGTTTTTTAGTTCACCATTTAGTAACCTATATGTGAATAATATTGTTGCATTGTGCCACATTTAGTATTTGCAATTATACAGTGGACCAACTGTTTGATGATGATATTACAGACTTCTATTCTTTTCATCAAAACATATTTCCAATTTATCTTTGGTGAAAAGAAAGAAAATCTGTAACATTGATTTCTCCATGCTAACTGGGTATTCAGATAATTTATTGAGAGACATTATATTTAAAACCCTTAAACTGCACGAAGCTTACCTTTCTAAATCTGTAAGCCTTGAGGAATCTCGGAATCCTTTAGCAAATGGATTACTGTCAATCTTCAACTTTGTAACCTGCGTTAAAGAAAAAATATCACAATATATATAAATGATAATAGTAGTATTGAAAGCCAACAGCGTTAGAAGAAAATAATATAGTTTTTCAAGTAATCCAGGAAGTACAGATAAAAATATTGATGCCGTTGTAAAATTATTAATTAAAGGATGAATATGATTTACTGTATTGTAAAAAAACTTTATGATCTAAATTTAAAATGATTTATAATTTGGTTAAAAAGTCTCTAAGCACACTGAAAATAAATTATTTGAAATAAATTTATTTGAAGATACTTGATAATTTGTTTGTTTGGTTTAGCGCATAGCAACACAGTAGTCTGTGTGCACTGTGACCACCATAAGGTATTGAACCCAGAGTTTTAGTGTTGTAAGTTTGTAAACTTACAAATGGCCCACTGGAGGACCTTGATAATTTAAATATGTCATCCTAAACACGTGTTGTGACACAATAAATTAACTTTAAAGCTCCCCCCAGTGGCACAGTGGTATGTCTGCGGACATATGCTGCTAGAAACCGGGTTTCGATACCCGTGGTGGGCAGAGCACAGATAGTCCTTTGTGTAGCTTTGTGCTTAATAACAAACAACAACAAGTTAACTTTAAAAGCTGGCTAATAATTATTATCACAAAATTAAGATATAAATTAAAACTAGCTTATAAAAATAGGAGTTCGATACCCATGTTGAGCACATCGCAGCTAGCCCATTGTGTAGCTTTGCACTTGAAACAGAGAAAGAACAAATATATTTAAATGAAGATGTAAAATGAAATAAAGAAATTAGCAAGAAATGAAACCCAGAGAATTAGCGGATGTAGGAACCAAATGTTTGAAAATACAGAAAACAAAACCATCATAATAAAATAAGAAAGCCAACATATTTGTACTGTAGAAAACAAATACTAAAATATGTAAGAACAGTAGTCTCAAGAGTGCTATGTTTCTAAAACGATAGAATCCAAGAATTTGGACTGTAAAACAATGAATATACCATTAGTAAAAAACAAATACCCATTCAGAAGTGAAAAACATTTGAAAAATTGGAAGTCAATAAATGCTGTATAAATAACGAATGCCAGTGCTATTACACTGATATAGAGGAAAAAATAACTTAAAGAGACACAGATAATCAGTTACCTGAAATATCGAACGCCAATAACATACAAATATTAGTAAAAATTAATTTGAGATTTAGAAAAAAGTTAACTTTGAAATTTAGTAAATTAATAAATTAAAGGTGTTATTTAATTAATAACTTAAATATGTGAAAATTCAGTAATATGGAAATAAAAAATAATTATTAAAAATTTACAGTTACATTTACCATCTGCTGGAATGATTTGACTTAGATACGTGAATCTCATCACCTGTTCCAGATAGACCCCGTCGACTATGATGTTTATCTTTTCAATGGTTGATGTTTCCTGCTTACTATCATCGTCTGTGTGTTTTTGGTGTTCATTCTCGGTCCGAATTGAATACAAATACTATTCACCTATTATATCTCACTTTGACTTTAGATAATAGTCACCATTATTAATATATTTATGAATATTATTATTATTATTTATACTACCATATCATATGCTTATAAATCATTATTATATGCAGATTTTGAAATATTTTTATTATCAATTTTGTTGTATTCATTAGAACACACAATAACAATTAAGGATGTACTAAAAACATTGCCAAGAATACGTGTTGTCTGAACTAAAATGGTTAATAAAATAAGTATAGAGTGAACAGACACAAATATTATGATGTGTTGCGTGAACAAATTACACTGGGTTTTAGTAACGACTTCACAAGAAAAACTGATATATTACACTGGATGTAAAAACAACAACAAAAAGAACGTGTATTAATCCTTGACGTGCCTTTGCAAGGGACATAGGGCCAGTGCTTTCGAACTTTAGACGGTAACCCATTTCCTGTGGACGGAACGTCAGTTCATCGAAGGTCAACCACGAACTAACAAGTTGGTAGACTGGAACAAGTGGGGGAAAAAAGAAGTCTTACTCAAGGACACAACAGTATAACGGACTAGCCTCTACTCAGGACACAACAGTATTAGGGACTAGCCTTTACTCAGGACACAATAGTATAACGGACTAGCCTCTACTCAGGACACAACAGTATAACGGACTAGCCTCTACTCAGGACACAACAGTATAACGAACTAGCCTCTACTCAGGACACAACAGTATAACGGACTAGCCTTTACTCAGGACACAATAGTATAACGGACTAGCCTCTACTCAGGACACAACAGTATAACGGACTAGCCTCTACTCAGGACACAACAGTATAACGGACTAGCCTCTACTCAGAACACAACAGTATAACGGACTAGCCTCTACTCAGGACACAACAGTATAACGCACTAGCCTCTACTCAGGACACAACAGTATAACGGACTAGCCTCTACTCAGGACACAACAGTATAACGGACTAGCCTCTACTCAGGACACAACAGTATAACGGACTAGTCTCGATCTCGCAACTATCTACGAATCCAAAGCGCAAATCTACTGAACCACGTTGCCAGTAAACAATCCTCTATTCCCACTTTTATACACTGAAGTATGTATAAACGAAAGCAGTAAGAAAGGGGATTGAGATCACGCGAACCTACCAGTTGGTTCTGATAAGCTGTCACTGCTATGAAGACAGTTTCAGAAAAGATGTATGTTCTTGATCGCTCAGCTTCTAAATCCGTTATCGGAAGAAGATTCGAAAGATCACTTCGTAGTTTAACTAGGTGTATTCTTGGCTGATACTTGTGCATCGAATTGAGAATGATCTGGGAAATAAAAATACACTAAAGTTTTAACTGTGCTATGTAGTGGAAATTATAATTTTCAAAGTTTCATTGCTTCCTATATGAAATATTGAAGGAGACATTTTGTAACATAAGTCATTAGATCACATTTTAGTTTATTCTTATTTGTCCCACATTTAGGTTTAACAACATAACAATAACCACATGTGGTGTTACGGTAATTTGTTTATGTGGTTATATATATATTTTTCTGATACTCACATGACCCTGATTGTCCTTTTCATTATTGGTCAGTTTAACTTTTTCGAAGGAAATCACCTGCTTTTCCAGTTGGTCTCCAGTAAAAGGCGAATCACTGTGGAGATAGAGGCGACTCAGAAAAGAAGGGTTAGCTCTACCGGCAACTAGCCAAGACGATCGGCGGTAAGAGTAGCGGTAGCGCCTGTTATCCACTGGTACAATGTCCAATAGCACAGCGTATTTAGCTTGAGCGTCAATACCATTAAAAGAAATCCTTAGAGCAGGAAACATCCTTCTGTAAAAAAAAAAATAAACATCTTAGGAACTTAACTTTTTTTCCCATTTAACTGCTTTTAAACATTTTCAATGAAACATTGTAGATCAAAATAAATGAGCAATTTAAATCAAAGTTTTCTGAAATCATCTATAATAGAAAATAGAGATCCATATAGATGTTTTGAAAGTGAAATTTGCAAATGCACAAGAGAAAATGCAAATGCATCGTAAAAAGACATTCTAAATTTATAGAACTTTAAGTGTTTTAAAATATTTACACTTTGTTGTAAGGAGATTTATTGTTAAACGTTTCAGTTCTGAGTAACATTTCAGCTGTTCTTTGGTGTTAAAACGGAGATCAATATTTTGATACAGTTTTGAACATTATGTTAAAGTTTCACATGTGGTTTGGAGCACACACGTTATGGTTTAGTTGTGGTATAGTTAAGGTAATAGCAAAATAAAAGTATAATCAACACTTAAATTTTTTATATCGCTTCAAATCCTTTGTTTATTATGACAGAGTCGAAAAGTACGTTTAGAAATATAATACAGATGTAGGTAGCAAACCGTGAAAACACAGTGATAATCATCTCAAAAATAAATCTCCTGAACGATTAATTGTTAGGGACTGCTAGCGCCAACTACCCTCTTGTAGTTTTGCGCGAAATTCAAAACAAATAAGCAAACTTGAGGTAGTTTTAGTGCCTCACAAGTTGTCTTCTTATCGGCAGGATGCTCTAAACACTTGTATAGAATTTAGTTACCAGTTAGATAAAGCCACAGATCAGCATAAAAAACTATGATATTCATAATACTTGTAATGAAATGTATTAATTGAATTTTATTTCCACGTGTTTTATTATTGTTAATATTGTATCGTTGTATGTGAATAAACAACAATATAAATAAGAACTTTGTATAGATAAGTCAGACAAGCTATTTTGCCTACAATTCTATATGATATATATGTATGTATATATATATAATATAGAGAGAGAGAG